GTAGAGTGCCTTCTCCGGGTCGAGGGGAATGTTCTGGAAGAGTTCAAGTATCTCAGGATCTTGTTCATGAATGAGGAAGAAAGGGAGCGGGAGAGTGACAGGCGGATTGGCACAGCATCTGTACCGGTCCGTCGTGGTGAAGAGAGAGCTGAGTCAAAAAGCGAAGCTCTCGATTTACCGGTCGATCTAGGTTCCTACACTCATCTATGGTCACGAGCTTTGGGTCATGACCGAAAGAACGAGATCGTGGATACAAGCGGCCAAAATGACTTTTCTCCGTAGGGTGGCTGGGCTCTCCCTTAGAGATAGGGTGATAAGCTCGGTCATCCGGGAGGGACTCAGAGTAGAGTCGCTGCTCCTCCACATCGAGAAGAGTCAGTTGAGGATCGAGCATCTGGGCAGGATGCCTCCTGGACGCCTCCCTGGTGAGGTGTTCCAGGCACGTCCCACCGGGAGGAGGCCCCGGGGAAGACCCAGGACACGCTGGAGGGACTATTTCTCTCGGCTGGCCTAGGAATGCCTCGGGATTCCCCTGGAGTGATGGATGGATGGATGGATGGATGGATGGATGGATGGATGGATGGATGGATGGATGGATGGATGGATGGATGGATGGATGGATGGATGGATGGATGGATGGATGGATGGATGGATGGATGGATGGATGGATGGATGGATGGATAAATGCCTACAACTTATTTCAGTTCTGAATGCTGTTTGTCACAGTTTTTACAAGTTCATGAAATCACTTATTTCACTTTTATCGATTTAAAATAGAAAGAGTCAGTTCAGAAACACTAGAAAAATGTGCCCTACGATTGTCACTGTATAGGCCTATACTGAGCGCAAGACATCAGCAAATTTTGTTTGGTGATGCCTTTACACTTTTTCAATGTTTTTTACAACACAACAATATGAAGCCTACATCAATAAAATCAGGACTGCAAGTGGTTCAGAGAAATGTTGCCATTCTCTTCCTGCATATTGATAAACAGAGAAAAACATAACCATTAATGCAACAAATACATTCAGACAAAAGCTGATCTGATGTGTTTCTATTTATTTATTTATTTATTTGTGAATGTTATTAATGTGTACAGTCTGAGACGGCTCTCAGAGAGTTGGGATGAGACAATGAAGATTTGCAAATGTTTTGTTTTTTTTTTTTTGTTTTTTTTTTGGTAGAAATGGTATATTTATTTTATCAAATGTGATGATTAAAGCAGAAAATTAGGAGAATTTTACACACATTTTGCATGGAAAGCATCAGAAATACTTTGGGCAGGAACTGTTTACAACACAAAGTGATGCCAGTTTCCACACATTTATTTCTTCCCAGAATATAAGATCCCAACAAATATCTTTTGCAACAATATGCCAATTCTCGGCTGCGGCTACTTCGGGTCCATTGTGTAGTATAAGGTTTTAGCTCTGCTACACTGGTAGCCAAGAAACGACATTTCGTTGTCAAGATTCACCTTGTGTATTTTTTTGTACAATGACAATAAAGGAAGTCTAAGTCTAAGTCAATTCTACAGCTTCAACAATTAATGATGCTCTCGCCTGATCAGCTCTTGTGGTTTCTCTTTGACCAGATGAATCATCTCAGAGAAATATCATCATCATTGCTGTCATTTCTGTTGTGATTTCCATCATAATTGCTGCTTTAGCATTTGCTGCTTTCAAGAAGAAAAATTGTCAGATTTTGGATTCATCATGATGTATCCGAAATCTGAAGATTGCAACAAACAAATGATTGTTTTTATACCATCTTTGCATTAAATTAAGAAACCTTAAAAATTATGAATATTTTCTCTTTTGAAGTTTTATTGCATATTTGTAAATTGAAACCCAAATATCTGTTTAACTTTCAGATAGACAAGTCATCTCTGGTAAGTAGGGCTGAAATTTATTTATCTTTTGTTTCACCAAATTGTCTGAAATAATTCTAAGATCAGAGGATTAGCAAGTCTCTTTTTGGTTCCTCAGAGTCTGAAATCATACCATTGAGAAACTGACTTCTAAATCCAGATCAAGAAATCTAACATCCTGCTCTGCCTTCACATGTCCATTTAAAATATGTACTATATGTGTATTAATATAATCTAATAAGTATTCTAATTGCTTTTTCATTAAGCAGGTGTTATTTTTCATTAAGCAGGTGTTATTGTGTGAAAGCAGAAAGTCGAGCCAGCTGTAGAAATGAGTAGAAAAAATATTTTATCATAATTCTTTGCTTCCTGCACCCTTTTTGTTTTTCTTCAGCTAATACAAAGTGTAGTATATCTAAAATAAAGTCACAAATGTTTTATTACTGTCAGTTTTTTCTAAATGACCAAGTATTCTATTAAAATCCCAATTTGCTTCCTGACAAAATATGCTGGAGAAATACATTAGACTGTTGTATATGTGAATGCTGTGAACTGTCCATTGTTGCATTGTTGGACTCTTGTTTATAAACTGGCAGATTGAGTTATGTGTCTGTATAGCTATATTTATTTTAAATGCATAACCATCATTTTTGTGTTTGGAAAATTGGAAAATAACTACATGTGTTTACATAAAGCCTTCTTATCCTGTTTTAATAAAACAATGAATACATTATTATATGTGCATAATGTTCAGTAAAAGTGCATATAATTTAAAGACATTGTAAAACTGTATATGTTGAATATCCCAACAGCAAAACAGAGGGAATTAGGTGTGATTTTATGCTACATTTTGATTGTCTGTTCTGACATTGATGTGTTTGCAGTAAAGTAACAACTCAGACACAAAGCTGCTGTAAAGATGGACATTTATGAGGATTGAGTTCAGATTGTAACTCTAAATGGAGATGTGTTAAATTTTGGAAATCTGTAATTAAATATTATCTACAAACCAGTTTGACTATTTTGTCGTCTCTATAACATAACCAATGAAGTTAACATCAGTTATAATTTCACATAGCAAGATCAAGTTTTATTTCTTAAAGAAAAACACTGGTGATTGCATAAAGTTACAAACTTTACAGCAATCACTCCTCCTGTATGAAAGGAAGAAACCTGCAGTAGAACCCTAAATAAGTGTGAGTAACCATCTATTTATTTATCCTGTTATCAAATTTAATAATCAGAGAATTCATATTACGTATAATACGTATTTTGTATTATGAAATGTAAGGCTACCTTCAGAGTAACACCAGCTTAAGAGGAAGAATCTAAATGTTTTTAAGGTTTACTTACATGGATGCTGGATTTAATTCGTATAATTTGGCTCTCAGTTTGCATAAAAACCTAGAAACCCATAAGAACTGGTTCTGTTAGCAGCACCGTTTCTGCTAACAAAGGCAGAATCAGTGCTGCTTCTGTTAACAGTCTCTTTGGTGAGAAAAGTTTCCAAGTGTTATTTATACTTCCTTCTGCAGGACAGCAGAGGGCAGCATTGGACAGATAAAATCTGTATTATTTAATGTTGTCGATTCAAATCTTGATCTTGTTAAAGTTCCTCACAATCAACTGGAAAAAGTTTCCCTGTGGGAATTGAAACATTTGAATAAATTTACTTAACATGTTCACAGAGTCACAAATCCATAAAAATGAACAATTATAATAATAAAAAAGATTATTTCGTGACTTATGAGGTAGAAGTTTCTTTTGCATTTTTTTATATTTTACACATGATAAAAACATTAATGTTTCAACAAAGACAGGTGACCTTCATCTACATAAAACTTTTCAAAACCATCCGATGAAGATTATTTTGCTAAACACAAAAGTAACAAAGACAACACAAGACTGATGTGTCTTACATAAAAACATGGTGCTAGCAAACATAATGCAGTAAAACCAGTTTTTCCAACTTCTGATCAGTTCTTTCACTTTGTTAAATGAAGCCAGCAGCATATCATAAGTTTCCTTCACATCACATTTATTCCAGTTTCTGCAGATAGAACTGTCTGACCCGCCGTCTGTCCAATGGTGAATTACAGATTACAAACTTATAGCTTATGATTTCTAATCCAATAAATGATACTATCTAATCTGAACCAGAAGTATTTTAGCCAAGAGGGAGTTTTCTTTATCAAAAGAACATCAAGTCAAGAGGAAAAGCAGGAGATAAAAATAACTCAGATGATGAGTGTTTGGCATCAAATTACCTTTAACAAGATGCAATACAGAGCAAACTAAAGCATGTTTTAAAGTCACAGAAAATAATACCCACAGAAAAATTATTTTGGTTCCCTAATAGCTTTGCTCATCACTTCAAAGGTGGATCCACCCTGTCGGGGAAGTTCATTTAAACTGCTGGAAGTTTTATTCTTTTAGTCATTAACCACAACTACTTGAATGGCGGGTCTGGTTAGGAATGAAGATATACCAGCAAACTAAAATCTTTGTCTGGTTTCAGTTTATCCTTCAGTATAAAACATACACAGAGCACTTGCATAACTAAAAACAGAGAGACATTTTTATGATTGTAAGTGTGAGGATAACACACTTATCCTCTAAATATCTAAATGCTCAGATATTTAGAGCAGAGTTTCATCAGCTGAACGCCGTTCAGTTGGTGATCACAGGTCCCTCTGCCTCACCTGGTTACTTTGTGCTCCCTTCATCACCTGCAGTCTGAGGCCTCCACCTTGTAGGTGTGGAGACCGATTGAGCCAGTTTCTCTGGTAGGTTTGTAAAACAGATGACCGGCTGCTCCCAGCCACATGAAGAGAAAATGGTCTCAAAATACCTGTGCTTGTGTAATACTGACAACTTTTGAACTTACATTTTTTTGGACTTTGTTCAATCAAAATATTGCATGCTTAATTCATTGCTACATGGACAAATAAAAACAAAAATAGTACAATTTTTTACATATTTCATAGAAAAAAGCACTTCCTGCAACTACAGTATGAAATACATTGTCATTACAATACAAAATAAATGGTATTCTTAGTATTTAATACATCTTTACTGACTTACAGTGAAGAACTCAAAATGTTCTGAATGCAAACTTGGTTCATAAAATCAAAATATTGCATGCTTAATTCAGAACAGAACAGAATCATCTCTTCTTCTCTAAGCTTGTTTTAACTGTTAGAGTCCAGATTTAACTTCAGTCTGGTTTCTTGATTGAGTCTCTCAGACAATTCAATACTGTTGACGGGAGCTGTAAGAAAAAAAAAAGAGTTAATATTTAGAAGAATCTGCAAAATAAATTGTTTATGTTAATAAGAGATAAACAACAAAGGGGCAAGGAATTTGTCAATAAAACAGACTGTGCAAGATCCATCACACTTTTAAGAAGTACTAAAATGAGAATATATAAATAAATCTGGGAAAAGATAGATTTACATTTCATCTGAGCCTTACTCATTGCTTTTACTGAAAATGGGAAATGCAGAATCCTGAAATTATTTCTGTGTTCATATATGTAATAATTTGAATAAAATAAGTTTAGATTTTAGTTGAGATTATGAGTCTTGTTCAGCTCATCACTGGAGGTTTTCTTACCTTTTCTATTTTTGATTACCATAAATCCAACAGCAGCAACAATTATAACAAGAGAAACCACTGCAGCAGTGATCCCAACTATCATGCCCATAGGCTTTTCTGCACAGAAAAAAAGACAACAGAGACAGATAAATATATTTACTAAGATATGCATAAACTGCAGATTAAGCTCTACTGAAAACTGTTAAGAAATCAGTATATACACGATGTTCCAAATTATTATGCAAGTAATATTTTCTCAGATTTTCTGAAATTGTCATTGATGGTCATTATGATTTTCAAGTCATGAACTAATACAGTATAAATCAAATTTAATGAAGAAAGCTCCTCATGAGAACAGTATTTTTTTCAGAAATAAAAAAATGAAAAAGGTTCTCAATAGGGTCAGAGGTTAGAGGAGGATGGTGACCACACCACGAGTTTCTCCCCTTTTATGCCCATAGCAGCCACAACACAGTGGTATCCTTGAAGCACTCATTGTCATGCATGAAGATGATTTTGTTACTGAAGGTACAGCTCTTCTTTTGAACCATAAAAGAAAGTGATCAGTCAGAAAGTTCATATATTTTGCTGAGGTCGTTTTCACATAGGAGCCCATTAGTCGGTTCCTGCACCACAAGCCTCTAGAGGATTCTCCACCTTGAGGTTTCCGAGGAACCAGCAGCTCCAAATAACTGTTTGCTGCTTTGTAAGGGCATTTTAACAGCTGCTCTCTCAAAACGATGAAATCATCAAACAGAAACTTCCTCATTATGCCTTTATCTGTACAAACCCATCTTTGTTCTGAATCAGCCACAAATATCTTCACAGTGCGATAACGCTTTCATTAAATATCTAGTGTTTTCATACCTTGTCATATGGCACTACACTATCTGATGATTTTTGTCAGCAGAGATCTTTTCTCTTTTCCAGACTTGCAGAACTCAGAACTTGCTGCTTGAAACCTGTGGCCTGCTTAATAATGTGGAACATCCTTCTTAAGTAGATTTCCTTTAATTGAGCTCACCAGACAAATTAATCAACTCAACTCTCTGAAATTAACTATAGTGATTCAAAGAGCCCTGATGCACAATACTATCTATAAATTTAATAGTGTAATGATAGTAGGGAATATTATCTTGAAAGTCTGTTACTGAATTTATAAAGTAATTGTAACCTCTTTTGAGGAGGTTCAATAATGCAGGAGAATAAGGTTGCATTTGAATGTCAGATAAACCTTTTTTTTTATCAGGGTTTTCAGGGTTAAATGACTAAAACCAGCAACCTTTTAAAAAAACAGATGTGTTATTGAAAAGGTCATGTTAATTAAACTTAAAACATAATAACAAACAGATCATCTTTTCTTACCCTCATCATTTTGTTTCTGTGTTTTCCCCCAGTTGATTTGGATCTTTTCTTTCTCCAGTCTGTTGACAACATCATCTTTGACATCCACCAGATGAAACACACACTCATATCTTTCCCAGTCTTCAGGGTTCACAGATGAAATATTAATGTCTGCTCTCATCTGGAAGGTGTTATCCTGGTTACAGAGGATCTCTGTTTTGTCCACATTGTCATGAATCTCCTCTCCATCCTTCCTCCAGAACATCACAGCTTTGTTGGGATAGAAACCAGTAGCGAAGCAGCTGACTGCAGCGTCAGGAGACTTCTGGAGGAAAAACACTGAGGGAAGAACTGAGGAGACAGACGGCAGCTTGAGATCTACCATCAGATAATTTTATATTATTCAAGACAAAATTTTAAAAGAAATGTTAGAAAATATGAAGATCATGAAAAAAAACTAAAAGCAGTTAAACACAAAAGCAGAATCACTTTTTCCATAAAATATTAAGCTCTGAGATAAACAAAAATTCACAAACAGTATGATCATTAACAAAAAAAACATGACAAAAATGTATGAATACATTTAAAAAAGATAGATATTGTGGGAATTGATGTTTGACTGCAACTGTCTTCAGCTTAATATTTAATATTTATTCTGACAACAATGTGCAAAAAAACAAAAGAAAAGAAAGAGGAGCAGATTACACTGTTAAATTTCAACAATCTGGAAAAAATGATCCTTTCCAAATTTATGTAGTTCAGATTTTGCTGGTTTTTATGGCCTTTCTAACATGTTTTGATCAGCTGACGAAAAGTCAGTTCATGTTTTAACGTAATTTTTTCAGTACACTGAATCTGTGTGACAGTAGAAGTCACATTTTTCCTTACGATTTTTTTTGTATGCACGCTGCGCTCCATCTCAACCTGCTGAATGTAAACATTTGATCACACCATGCTGCTGCGACTCACCTGAGCTCTGCAGAGGGCCTTCATTATTGGCCATATATTTCTTCAGCCAATCAGGGCATATTTGATTTAAGAAGTCCTTGTTGCGCTCCAAATGGGATGTGGATTCATCAGCTTCCCATTTTGGTTTGATGCTGATAGCCTGGGGAGTTTGAGGAATCCATGTCAACTTCTTTGGGTCAAATTTGATAAAGTCTGCTCCATTATATCCAAACTGTAAAAACGAGACTGTTTCTTTTGTCTTTGCCTCCCATTCACAGCCAATAATAACCTGTAAGATGTGAACAGCTGGAGGAGAAAACAGAAACTGAGATTATGAATCAAATTTATTAATGGTAAGTCATTGCAGCTCAATTATGAATATGAGTCTTTTCACTGTACCTTCACTTTGGTTCAGGTCCTTTAAAATTCCCATCTTAACCTTGAGATAATCAGACATTATTTCAAAACACTGTTCAATATACCAATCAGCAATCTGTGACTCAATGTTCATTAATTTTGGTCCATATTTTGGGTTTGCTCTGATATTTTTGTTGCTGTCACAGTAACTTGTTGGCAGCTTATCCACCTGGGTGGTGGTTATGAAGTCTGGGAAATGAGGGAGTCCAGAAGAGGCAGTAACCAGAACTGTCAGTGAGTGTTTTTCTAAAAGAGAGGTTTAAATGTTCAAAACATGTTTAACTTCAGCAGGTTTTTGAATGGAGCAAATTATGAAAGTCAAAATAAACTACAAGGAATAAAAATAGACAGCACTTTCAAATAGGGAAAAGCAAAAGTTTACCTGGTGATGAAGCGCCACATAATAGAAGAAAAAATAACATCTTCATGTCACAGAAATGATAAGTGGTGATGTTAGGACTGAAATCCTTTACTTTTCCTCAGGAACTGTTCATATGTAAGGAAAATAATGTTCTTTTGAAATTACTTGCTTTGTAAAATAGAAAATCTGTAGCAGCCAGAAAGAAAAGTAATGAAACCTGGTTTCTGCCTAAACTGATGAGAATCCAGAACGTCATTTCGGATGATCCGGTCCTGTTTTTATGGCTTCCACACACAAAAAAAAAACCAGCTGCTTTCTTTAAAGACGGCCTCTCACCACCAAGCACCGACAGAGCGCCCCACTTTACTGTAAAATATTTGAAGGTGGATAAACTAGCAAATGAAAGTCAAAATGCTGCCTTGAAAGTGCAATTTAAGTCAACAAGAAAATTGTATTGGTTTTAACTCAGAAATTAAAATTCATGAAGTTAATACAACAAGAAACAAGTTGTCTAAACATTGTTTTTTAAGTTCTTTAATGGCAAATTGTGAGTTTTAACTTAATGCTGTAACTTTACCCTAACCAAGTAATTATTTCGCAATACACATTTAGTGTGAACAGAACAAGCTTTGCAAACTGTCAGCTGCATTAAAATGAACATTTGCCTTAATAACAAACAAGAGTCAGATCAATGTGATGCACTTCCATCTCAGGATATAAAATCATGCCGCTAAGCAAATTGTTCCCTCTCTTGTCTTTTTCTTCTTTCTGTTTTTTTTTACCTGAAAACTCCAGTTTTCTTAGCTCTTGTAGTTTTGACAAAATTAATAAAAAAGTTAACACAACTTACTTCAGTAAGTTTATCTTTTCACAAACTCACACATTTAGGTTCGAAATCTAAAACTCAGATCTGATAATCATATTTTACTTAAAGAGTAGAAGATAGTAGACACAACTAAATTTGACTCAAATGTTTTGCAGTGTTCAGGCTCATCAGCCTCACCTTTCATTTTTAGGACTTCGATCTGCCAAACACAAAATATTTGTTGTGAAGCCGGTTTGTCACTTTAGCGATCGTTCTTGCTCTGCGTTGATGAAATGAGGAAGTTGTGGTTAAATACTAACCTTGAGTGAACCCTTGCATACATTTATGTAAACAGTGAACTATGTCAACATTTTGTGTTTGGAAAATAATCTGCATTTTTTATCATGTACCAGACGTAAATAATGTAAAATCAGTGAATTGTTTGTGTCATGCTTTGCAGCATTTTAGTCATTTTCATCATTTCTGTCAGTTGAAGGTGGAGTTGAAAAACAAGTCCATGTAAATGTAATGAGATTTATGCCATGTCACTTGCAGCTATAAAGGATAAAATTTGTATTGAGAAATAAATCTTGTGAACTACAATATCTGCTCATCTCATCTTAATCAGTGTTGGCTTGGTGAGCTGTTTTTGTTATGTTATGGATGTAAAGGATTGTAATGAGAGTGTGGGAGTCAGGAACCAGCTGGTGACAGCAGCAACAGAGAACAATAGAGGTTCTGATAAAGAAACAGACAAACAGAGGAGCATTTTGTGAAGTGCATCAATCCTTCCACTGATTTACTCGTATTGCTGCTGTTACTATTGATCTTCTTTTAGCTCCTGTGTGGCTTGAGCTCACTAAGAAGCTGAATCACATTTGTAAGCAAAAAATACATTTACTAGAAATGTATATTCATGTGCTCTAGTAATTTTGGTCATGTTTCTAAATTTAATGACGTTTTAAAAAGCTTGCTACCAAAAACAAATTCACACATGCACATACTTCAGTTATGCTTTATTTTTTAAAAACATCCATTTATATAAAAAAAACCCACAAATCTATTAGTAGTTTCTTAGACAAAAAAAGACATGAAAGTAATCATTGGTTTAAAGTCTTTCCTCATGACACTGTTTAAATGTTTATCTCTTTCAAAACTTCACACAAAATGATTTGGTTAAATAACTTTGATAATCAACATCGAAATAAGATATGAAAAAAATTAGGGGGTGTTTGTAGATTTCTTTTTCTTGGTGTGATGATTTAACATTGACCTTTTATAGGTTGGAGCACGACTTCACAGGAGAATAAGAAAAGGTAAAATATTAATAACAAGGCATTTAGTTATTCATCTTGCTTATTTTCAGCAAAGTGCTTAAATATAAATTTCTGTTTGCTTTACACTCTAGAATGTTGTTCAGGCTCAGGCTTGATTTTTTTGCATCTCTTTGCTAAATCAGAAACCAGAACCTGATCTCTAGTTTCAGTGAACTTTTAATTTCTTCCTTTCATTTGTAGATAAGTCTGAGAAAACCTAAGAATTTTTTCTCTGTCATTTGTTGGTAGAACCTTCTACAAAGATAGCCTCTGATGTTATTTGATAGAGAAAAATACAGACGTTCATTAGCCTATATGATGTATGCGTTTGTTTGCTTTATGAAAGACAGATGCAAATTAAAAAAATATTATTGTGCAATATAGTTGTAAAATGTGAGTAAACATAAATAGAGCTATTCAAAACTTTCAGACATGATATAAAACCCAAACCATTTAGCATGTTAAATGTGCTCCTTTAAATTATTGACAGTTATCTTCATTTAACAGGATCCTGGAATTTCCTGTAGATTTTATGTGCCGTTAACAGAACATTTGGATATGACACATGTCCAGCATTCTTCATGGTGAAGTGCATTTTGCATCACTTTCTTGAAGAGAGATTGTTTCAGAGGCTGTAAGATACAAAATATTTCATTAATCTGCTCATTCTGATCAAAACTTAGTGAATATAGGACAGTAGAGGTCATAATGTACTTACATAGTGTAGAAGATCTGTCTGTGTCACTAATGTTTGTCACTAAATAATGGAAGAATGATCATTTAGGTCATGTTAAACGTAAAAGATCTGCTTGTAAACATGTAATTTGATTATGTGAATAACTATCAGATTTACCAAGATATTCAACTGTAATTAGATGTTATAGTAGAGTGTAACTTTCTAATTCACTTTTCTGAATATCACATTTTAATTGTCTTACCATTCATTAGTTTGAAAGCTGTGAATGATAAAGCAGCAGCGAGGATGATGACAACACATCCCATCATAGCAATGACAGCGATGCTGGTTGCCGTTAACAGACCTGTTCAGGAAACATTATGCAGGTTTCTTGGTTTTGGTTTTAACTGAACTTAAGAAACATTTACAACTTTAATCTTAGAAATAAAACTGTGTATTAGTAAGGTTGAGCATCATCTATAATGGCCTATTTAAACTCAAATAGCAAATGACAAATTACACTAAAATGGAAACTAACTTCCCATTACTTATTTTTAACTAAGGGGAAGATTCGCCTTCATGTATCAAATGGCAAAGAATTAAAATTACCAAAAGAAGGACTACTTAGTGTATTGCAATGTATTTTTAGTCACTACTTGAATCTATTACCACTTTTAGTGCTTTTCTAAAAACAGGAAAAAAATGATCAAATCAAGTATTTTTATTACCTTCATTTTTGGGATTGTTGCTTCTGATTGAATCTTGGTCCAGTTTGGTAATGGCATCATTTTTCACACCAGAGAGTTCAAATATGCATTCGTATCTCCCCCAGTCTTCAGGTGGGATTTCCAGAACCTCCAGGTGGACACTCAGCTGAAAGGATCCATCATCATTGGGAAGAAGGTCTCCATGTTCTACCCCTTCATGAATCTCCTCTCCACTTTCCTCAGAACACATCATGGCTTTGTTAGGGAAGAAACCCGTTGCATGACAAGAGGAGAGGAGTGAGAGAGTAGAAAAGAAAACTAGAGAGATATTGCCACTATTAGGTCATTTTGCATGATTATTATGATAATATGTCCTCGTGGTTTTTCTCATGATACTCAAGAAATGTTTGATAGACCAAAATGTATAAAACATACTAAAAGAGGTGGTAAGTAGACCCAGATAAAATTAAACTGTATATATAAAAGGCCAATTCATTTTACCTTTTCTGCTCAGATAGGATTTTCCATATCGCACACCTAAATGTAATAATGGCAGGCACACATTTTGGAGACAGTTCTTTGCAATCTCATAAAAGGCTTTGTTTGCATTCCACTCCTCTGCTATGACCTCCGCCTTTGGATCTGTTGCAATCCAAGTCCCTGTCTTTGTGTCTAATATGATAAAGTCTTCTCCATTGTTACCGTACTTTATATGACCATGAGTATTATTAGTTTCTTCATCCCAGTCACAGCCAATAATTTGCTGAATTATCTCCTTGCCTGAGGAAAACAGAGAACAAACCATGTTTTAAATATGCCATGATGCCATCACACATTCTACCTGATAATGTAATTTTTTGTTTTTTTTAAGATGTGTAGTTTCTGAAGCAAAGTTTTGCCTGATCTAAATCCAAATTTGGATTAATTTAAATGGATAATAAATACAGAAATGAAGCAAGAAGGAAAGAAAGAAACAAAGAAACATAGGATTTTCGCTATAACATACCTTTTGTTTGGTTTGACTGTGTGGTAAAATTCTTAGTTTGTTCTCTTAACAGAAATTTGTATGCCAAGCACCCCTGGACAGTCAATTTCCATTCCTTTGTGTTCTCTTTTATGAACTTTTTCATCCAGTCTTGTTTGATATTAATTACTTTTTCATCAAAATAAGATACAAAAAATCCCTCAAGTGAACCCATCACTCCATACTCTGGGAAATCGGGAACTCCTGGATACAGGAAACGATTAGACTCCAGGTGATATTTTCTGTTAGAAGAAAAAAAATTTATTTAGAGTATGGATTGCAATTTTTTGTATTTTTTTATTATAGTATAAACTCTAGAATTGAATTTGCATGTGAAACATAAAAAGTTACAAAATACATATTCTCTTTATATTGATGAAAACTTATAAGTCTTTAACTTTCACAGTTATTTCACAGTTGATAAAATAACTGACATCTTTACCTTTGAACTGAAGCAGCTCTGTTTCACTTTTGATTATAGAAAATTAAAAATTATCAAAAATTGCTTCTCCTGTTGAATGATTGAAATGTTCTTACCTCCAGATGCAGCATTCTGTAAAAGCAGCAACAAAGTTATCACCTTTATCATTTTTGTACAGTTGGTGTGAAATTGAGAAACTGAGCAGAAGAGTCCTTTAGTTGATATGTCCAAAATCATTTCCTGCTTTTCTTCTTATCGTCACAAGATGGTGGTGGAGGTGTGTTCAAGTTTGACAAACAACCAATGGGATATTTTTGTGTTCTTTTTTAGTTTTTATGACAGAATTGGTCTATTGTGCTAAAGTAAAACTTCTTATACAGTGTGTTAAATCTGAATCAGTTTTAGCTTTTAACATGTTTGTTAAAATGCTCTAAATCTGAAATGACTAACCCCACTGTCATTAAACTAAAATGAAATAACTTCCTGGTGGTTTTTTCTTAAAAAACTAAACTAAGAAATGAAACAATAATGAATGTATAACCACATTAACACCGAAATGTTAGAATTTCATCAAATGGCAATATATCATTATAAATTTGCTTTAATCACTGAGCAATAAATGCACCAACTTTAGGGAGATTTTCTGTGTATCCTGTGACAACAAACACCAGGAAGTACCAACACTTGCAATACAAGTAATTGTTGATTCAAGATTAAGTAACAAGGAAACAATTTATGCTTATCTTGTTTCTATTAATAGTACATTTTCTTCTGAAAATTTTCTGACCTGTTTTTATTTGGTTTATGTTTAGAAGACATGAACATGTATGAAAAGTTAATATCTCTCTAAAACTCAGTAACAGAACAAGACTTAATTTTGACTAAGCTTCAGTATAAGTAAAGAATGAAAGTTTTATTCAAACAGCCATGAAAACTTTAATATTAGATCTTCCTCTATTCCATTTAGATATTCTATTCAATATTGCTAGGAAGGCTTTTCCATATCAGTTCTACTCTTTCAATTCACTTTTAGGAAAACTACTAGAAGTGAATTTAATAATTACCAAATTGGCTTTGAATATAAACCATAGATGTTTTGAAAATGAGATCAGAGTTGCAACTCAAAATCATCTTAACTACTAACCTTTTACTCACTCTGTAGCTTAAGAAGAAAGAAAATGGACTTCTTGTTTGAAGATGTTTCAGTTCTCGCCAAAAAAGAAGAAACCATTTCTAGTAAGACTTTATGGAAGCCACTACATTATTTATCACCCGTCTAAATGCCTACAACTTATTTCAGTTCTGAATGCTGTATGTCACAGTTTTTAAAAGTTTATGAAATCACTCATTTCACTTTTATCGATTTAAAATAGAAAGAGTCGGTTTAGAAACTCTTGAAAAATGCTTATACAGATTGTTACTGTATAAGCATAAGCTGTGCAGCTTATAGTAAGACTGAAAAGGAATGGAAAACAGTTATTTTGGTTCTCTGTACACAGGCTATTGAGCATGACCCATTACCACAGAGGTCATTCCTGTACTCAGCAGTAGTCACTTCCTCGGTATAAGATGAGAAACCTTCGTTCCCCATAATGTCTGAATTTACTCTTTTAGTCCCGTATATTCTCACATATATGTTCTCACAATTTGTTTATATGGGTTTATATGTAGTTTGTAGGATTATTTTGTTTTATATTATTCCTACAGACTATTAGAGTAGATACATCAAATGTTTAAATTAGATTAAGCAGGGTATTGTTCTTGATTACTACCACATTATTTATCACCCCTTATTTGTTCATATTCAACAAACCAGTTTCAAATAAAATTTTCTTTCTCTATGTTTAATTACAACTGATTTTTGACTTGTATGCCTTATTTGTCTTCATGCTGAATTTGAGAATTTTTTAAAAGATTTTTCTCAGATAAAACAATTCTCATGCACTAAGTATTTATCTGAAATGAACAAAATGCACACATATATTGATATAAATTTTTTAGTTGAGAATTTATGACAGTATTTTTTAAAACAATATTGTAAAAAACTGTTAAATACATAAATTATTTTTTTTTTTAAATGCACATGTTTGGTTTGATTTTTTTTGTAAAAATCATTTGTTCTTTATCAGGTCCAGAAAAAAAAACTAAATCTAACCTTAACCTATGTTTTAATCTGCTAAATAGGCCTATACTGAGCGCAAGACATCAGCAAATTTTGTTTGGTGATGCCTTTACACTTTTTCAATGTTTTTTACAACACAACAATATGAAGCCTACATCAATAAAATCAGGACTGCAAGTGGTTCAGAGAAATGTTGCCATTCTCTTCCTGCATATTGATAAACAGAAAAAACATAACCATTAATGCAACAAATACATTCAGACAAAAGCTGATCTGATGTGTTTCTATTTATTTATTTATTTATTTGTGAATGTTTAATGTGTACAGTCTGAGATGGCTCTCAGAGAGTTGGGATGAGACAATGAAGATTTGCAAATGTTTTTTTTTTTTTTTTTTTTTTTTTTTTTGGTAGAAATGGTATATTTATTTTATCAAATGTGATGATTAAAGCAGAAAATTAGGAGAATTTTACACACATTCTGCATGGAAAGCATCAGAAATACTTTGGGCAGGAACTGTTTACGACACAAAGTGATGCCAGTTTCCACACATTTATTTCTTCCCAGAATATAAGATCCCAACAAATATCTTTTGCAACAATATGCCAATTCTCGGCTGCGGCTACTTCGGGTGCATTGTGTAGTATAAGGTTTTAGCTCTGCTACACTGGTAGCCAAGTAACGACATTTCGTTGTCAATATTCACCTTGTGTATTTTTTTGTACAATGACAATAAAGGAAGTCTAAGTCTAAGTCTAAGTCAATTCTACAGCTTCAACAATTAATGATGCTCTCGCCTGATCAGCTCTTGTGGTTTCTCTTTGACCAGATGAATCATCTCAGAGAAATATCATCATCATTGCTGTCATTTCTGTTGTGATTTCCATCATAATTGCTGCTTTAGCATTTGCTGCTTTCAAGAAGAAAAATGGTAAGATTTTGGATTCATCATGATGTATCCTCAACCTCGATAGACTGAAATCTGAAGATTGCAGCAAACAAATGATTATTTTTATACCATCTTTGCATTAAATTAAGAAACCTTAAAAATTATGAATATTTTCTCTTTTGAAGTTTTATTGCATATTTGTAAATTGAAACCCAAATATCTGTTTAACTTTCAGATAGACCAGTCATCTCTGGTAAGTAGGGCTGAAATTTATTTATCTTTTGTTTCACCAAATTTTCTGAAATAATTCTAAGATCAGAGGATTAGCAAGTCTCTTTTTGGTTCCTCAGAGTCTGAAATCATACCATTGAGAAACTGACTTCTAAATCCAGATCAAGAAATCTAACATCCTGCTCTGCCTTCACATGTCCATTTAACATATGTACTATATGTGTATTAATATAATCTAATAAGTACCCTAATTGCTTTTTCATTAAGCAGGTGTTATTGTGTGAAAGCAGAAAGTCGAGCCAGCTGTAGAAATGAGTAGAAAAAATATTTTATCATAATTCTTTGCTTCCTGCACCCTTTTTGTTTTTCTTCAGCTAATACAAAGTGTAGTATATCTAAAATAAAGTCACAAATGTTTTATTACTGTCAGTTTTTTCTAAATGACCAAGTATTCTATTAAAATCCCAATTTGCTTCCTGACAAAATATGCTGGAGAAATACATTAGACTGTTGTATATGTGAATGCTGTGAACTGTCCATTGTTGCATTGTTGGACTCTTGTTTATAAACTGGCAGATTGAGTTATGTGTCTGTATAGCTATATTTATTTTAAATGCATAAACATCATTTTTGTGTTTGGAAAATTGGAAAATAACTACATGTGTTTACATAAAGCCTTCTTATCCTGTTTTAATAAAACAATGAATAAATTAATATATGTGCATAATGTTCAGTAAAAGTGCATATAATTTAAAGACATTGTAAAACTGTATATGTTGAATATCCCAACAGCAAAACAGAGGGAATTAGGTGCAATTTTATGCTATATTTTGATTGTCTCCTCCTCATTGATGTGTTTGCAGCTAAAGTAACAACTCAGACACAAACCTGCTGTAAAGATGGACATTTATGAGGATTGAGTTCAGATTGTAACTCTAAATGGAGCTGTGTTAAAGTTTGGAAATATGTAATTAAATATTATCTACAAACCAGTTTGACTATTTTGTCGTCTCTATAACATAACCAATGAAGTTAACATCAGTTATAATTTCACATGGCATGAACAAGTTTTATTTCTTAAAGAAAAACACTGGTGATTGCATAAAGTTACAAACTTTACAGCAATCACTCCTCCTGTATGAAAGGAAGAAACCTGCAGTAGAACCCTAAATAAGTGTGAGTAACCATCTATTTATTTATCCTGTTATCAATTTTAATGATCAGAGAATTCATATTACGTATAATACGTATTTTGTATTATGAAATGTAAGGCTACCTTCAGAGTAACACCAGCTTAAGAGGAAGAATCTAAATGTTTTTAAGGTTTACTTACATGGATGCTGGATTTAATTCGTATAATTTGGCTCTCAGTTTGCATAAAAACCTAGAAACCCATAAGAACTGGTTCTGTTAGCAGCACCGTTTCTGCTAACAAAGGCAGAATCAGTGCTGCTTCTGTTAACAGTCTCTTTGGTGAGAAAAGTTTCCAAGTGTTATTCATACTTCCTTCTGCAGGACAGCAGAGGGCAGCATTGGACAGATAAAATCTGTATTATTTAATGTTGTCGATTCAAATCTTGATCTTGTTAAGTTCCTCACAATCAACTGGAAAAAGTTTCCCTGTGGGAATTGAAACATTTGAATAAATTTACTTAACATGTTCACAGAGTCACAAATCCATAAAAATGAACAATTATAATAAAAAAGATTATTTCGTGACTTATGAGGTAGAAGTTTCTTTTGCATTTTTTTATATTTTACACATGATAAAAACATTCATGTTTCAACAAAGACAGATGACCTTCATCTACATAAAACTTTTTAAAACCATCCGATGTAGATTATTTTTGCTAAATACAAAAGTAACAAAGACAACAGAAGACTGATGTGTCTTACATAAAAACATGGTGCTAGCAAACATAATGCAGTAAAACCAGTTTTTCCAACTTCTGATCAGTTCTTTCATTTTGTTAAATGAAGCCAGCAGCATATCATAAGTTTCCTTCACATCTGATTTATTCCAGTTTCTGCAGATAGAACTGTCTGACCCGCCGTCTGTCCAATGGTGAATTACAGATTACAAACAAACTTATAGCTTATGATTTCTAATCCAATAAATGATACTATCTAATCTGAACCAGAAGTATTTTAGCCAAGAGGGAGTTTTCTTTATCAAAAGAACATCAAGTCAAGAGGAAAAGCAGGAGATAAAAATAACTCAGATGATGAGTGTTTGGCATCAAATTACCTTTAACAAGATGCAATACAGAGCAAACTAAAGCATGTTTTAAAGTCACAGAAAATAATACCCACAGAAAAATTATTTTAGTTCCCTATTAGCTTTGCTCATCACTTCAAAAGTGGATCCACCCTGTCGGGGAAGTTCATTTAAACTTCTGGAAGTTTTATTCTTTTAGCATGGCGGGTCTGGCTAGGAATGAGGATATACCTGCAAACTAAAAACTTTGTCTTGTTTCAGTTTATCCTTCAGTATAAAACATACACAGAGCACTTGCATAACTAAAAACAGAGAGACATGTTTATGATTGTAAGTGTGAGGATTACACACTTATCCTCTAAATATCTAAATGCTCAGATATTTAGAGCAGAGTTTCATCAGCTGAACGCCGTTCAGTTGGTGATCACAGGTCCCTCTGCCTCACCTGGTTACTTTGTGCTCCCTTCATCACCTGCAGTCTGAGGCCTCCACCTTGTAGGTGTGGAGACCGATTGAGCCAGTTTCTCTGGTAGGTTTGTAAAACAGATGACCGGCTGCTCCCAGCCACATGAAGAGAAAATGGTCTCAAAATACCTGTGCTTGTGTAATACTGACAACTTTTGAACTTACATTTTTTTTGGACTTTGTTCAATCAAAATATTGCATGCTTAATTCATTGCTACATGGACAAATAAAAACAAAAATAGTACAATTTTTTACATATTTCATAGAAAAAAGCACTTCCTGCAACTACAGTATGAAATACATTGTCATTACAATACAAAATAAATGGTATTCTTAGTATTTAATACATCTTTACTGACTTACAGTGAAGAACTCAAATGTTCTGAATGCAAACTTGGTCCATAAAATCAAAATATTGCATGCTTAATTCAGAACAGAACAGAATCATCTCTTCTTCTCTAAGCTTGTTTTAACTGTTAGAGTCCAGATTTAACTTCAGTCTGGTTTCTTGATTGAGTCTCTCAGACAATTCAATGCTGTTGACGGGAGCTGTAAGAAAAAAAGAGTTAATATTTAGAAGAATCTACAAAATAAATTGTTTATGTTAATAAGAGATAAACAACAAAGGGGCAAGGAATTTGTCAATAATACAGAGTGTGCAAGATCCATCACACTTTTAAGAATTGCTAAAATAACAATAAATAAACAAATCTGGGAAAAGATAGATTTACATTTCATCTGAGCCTTACTCATTACCTTAACTGAAAATGGGAAATTCAGAATCCTGAAATTATTTCTGTGTTCATATATGTAATAATTTGAATAAAATAAGTTTAGATTTTAGTTGAGATTATGAGTCTTGTTCAGCTCATCACTGGAGGTTTTCTTACCTTTCCTATTTTTGATGACCATAAATCCAACAGCAGCAACAATTATAACAAGAAAAACCACTGCAGCAGTGATCCCAACTATCATGCCCATAGGCTTTTCTGCACAGAAAAAAAGACAACAGAGACAGATAAATATATTTACTAAAAGATGCATAAACTGCAGATTAAGCTCTACTGAAAACTGTTAAGAAATCAGTATATACACGATGTTCCAAATTATTATGCAAGTGATTTTCTCAGATTTTCTTAAATGGTCAATGCAAATGATGGTCAGTATAATTTTCAAGTCATGAACTATTACAGTATAAATCAAATTTCACTGAGTAAAGCTCTCCATGAAAACAGTTTTTTTTAAAAATAAAGAACTCAAAATGCTCTGTTCCAAATTATTAGCAGCAGATTTTCTGAACATTTCATGGATTATAAAGAACTGCAAACATTCATTCTTTGAATGTGCAGCATTAAGTGGTCACATGTACAAAAATCAAAAGATATTTCAATCAAAAACATCTTAACAGGCCGAGTTACAGGTTAACATAGGATCTCTTCTTTGATATCACAATTCTTGCATCCATTGAACTTGTGAGTTTGTAGAAAGTTTCTGCTTGAGTCTCTTTGCAGGATGTTAGAAAACCTTCTCAGAGCTGCTGTTTGATATGAACTGCATCCTCAGATCTTCTAAGTTCTCCAAAGGTTCTCAGTAGGGTCAGAGGTCACCACACCATGAGATGGTTCATTGTCATGCATGTTGATGATTTTGGTACGGCTCTTTTTTTTTAACCATAAAAGAAAGTGATCAGTCAGAAAGTTCATATTCTTTGTTGAGGTCGTTTTTTACACCTTCAGGGACTCTGAAGTGGCCGACCAGCTCTCTCTCTCCCTATGATTTCAGCCCAAAGCATGACACCACCACCTCCTTGCTAACCTCACAGCCGTGTTGAGACACTGCTGCATCCATCTGGACCATTAAGGTTTGCACAGCAGTCATCCGTGAACAACTCTGATTGAAAATGAATCTTGTATGGCTGGTCCCATTGCGACCATTTCTGCTTGTGAACTGGTTAGGGGCCCATTAGTCGGTTCCTGCACCACAAGCCTCTAGAGGATTCTCCACCTTGACCCGAGGAAACCAGCAGCTCCAATCACTGTTTGCTGCTTTGTAACGGCATTTTAACAGCTGCTCTCTCAAAACGATGAAATCGTCAAACAGAAACTTCCTCATTATGCCTTTATCTAAACCCATCTTTGTTCTGAATCAGCCACAAATATCTTCACAGTGCGATAACGCTTTCATTAAATATCTAGTGTTTTCATACCTTGTCATATGGCACTACACTATCTGATGATTTTTGTCAGCAGAGATCTTTTCTCTTTCCCACACTGATTGAAACCTGTGGCCTGCTTAATAATGTGGAACATCCTTCTTAAATAGATTTCCTTTAATTGAGCTCACCAGACAAATTAATCAACTCAACTCTCTGAAATTAACTATAGTGATTCAAAGAGCCCTGATGCACAATACTATCTATAAATTTAATAGGACAACAAAAATGTAATCTTTATGACACAATAATTTGGAACATGGTGTAATGATAGTAGGGAATATTATCTTGAAAGTCTGTTACTGAATTTATAAAGTAATTGTAACCTGTTTTGAGGTTACAATATTTAGATGCACAGCAAAAAATATGCACAGATTTCCACTTGGGACTCACTATGAACGACATCTTTTGCACCATAAAATGCTGACTTCAGATTTTTAAATGTGGCTGATTTTAGTTCAATAATGCAGGAGAATAAGGTTGCATTTGAATATCAGATAAACCTTTTTTTATCAGGGTTATCAGGGTTAAATGACTAAAACCAGGAACCTTTTAAAAAGAACAGATGTGTCATTGAAAAGGTCATGTTAATTAAACTTAAAACACTATTACAAACAGATCATCTTTTCTTACCCTCATCATTTTGTTTCTGTGTTTTTCCCCAGTTGGTTTGGATCTTTTCTTTCTCCAGTCTGTTGACAACATCATCTTTGACATCCACCAGATGAAACACAGACTCATATCTTTCCCAGTCTTCAGGGTTCACAGATGAAATATTAATGTCTGCTCTCATCTGGAAGGTGTTATCCTGGTTACAGAGGATCTCTGTTTTGTCCACATTGTCATGAATCTCCTCTCCATCCTTCCTCCAGAACATCACAGCTTTGTTGGGATAGAAACCAGTAGCGAAGCAGCTGACTGCAGCGTCAGGAGACTTCTGGAGGAAAAACACTGAGGGAAGAACTGAGGAGACAGATGGCAGCTTGAGATCTAGCATCAGATAATTTTATATTATTCAAGACAAAATTTTAAAAGAAACTTTAGGAAATGTGAAGATCATGGAAAACTCTAAAAGCAGTTAGACACAAAAGCAGAATCACTTTGTTCATACAATGTTTAGCTCTGAGATAAACATTTTTTTGTTATAATCATTAAAATATAAAACATGACAAAGGAAATAAATGATACAAAAAAATTATGAATACAACATTTAAAAAAGATAGATATTGTGGGAATTGATGTTTGACTGCAACTGTCTTCAGCTTAATATTTAATATTTATTCTGACAACAATGTGCAAAAAAACACAAAAGAAAAGAAAGAAGAGGAGCAGATTACACTGTTAAATTTTAACAGTCTGGAAAAAATGATCCTTTCTAGATTTATGTAGTTCAGATTTTGCTGGTTTTCTAACATGTTTTAATCAGCTGATGAAAAGTCAGTTTATGTTTTAACATATTTTTTTCAGTACACTGAATCTGTGTGACAGTAGAAGTCACATTTTTCCTTATGATTTTTTTTGTATTCACGCTGCGCTCCATCTCAACCTGCTGAATGTAAACATTTGATCACACCATGCTGCTGCGACTCACCTGAGCTCTGCAGAGGGCCTTTGTTATTGGCCATATATTTCTTCAGCCAATCAGGGCATATTTGATTTAAGAAGTCCTTGTTGCGCTCCAAATGGGATGTGGATTCATCAGCTTCCCATTTTGGTTTGATGCTGACAGCCTGGGCAGTTTGAGGAATCCATGTCAACTTCTTTGGGTCAAATTTGATAAAGTCTGCTCCATTATATCCAAACTGTAAAAAGGAGACTGTTTCTTTTGTCTTTTTCTCCCATTCACAGCCAATAATAACCTGTAAGATGTGAACAGCTGGAGGAGAAAACAGAAACTGAGATTATGAATCAAATTTATTAATGGTAAGTCATTGCAGCTCAATTATGAATATGAGTCTCTTCACTGTACCTTCACTTTGGTTCAGGTCCTTTAAAATTTCCATCTTAACCTTGAGATAATCAGACATTATTTCAAAACACTGTTCAATATACCAATCAGCAATCTGTGACTCAATGTTCATTAATTTTGGTCCATATTTTGGGTTTGCTCTGATATTTTTGTTGCTGTCACAGTAACTTGTTGGCAGCTTATCCACCTGGGTGGTGGTTATGAAGTCTGGGAAATGAGGGAGTCCAGAAGAGGCAGTAACCAGAACTGTCAGTGAGTGTTTTTCTAGAAGAGAGGTTTAAATGTTCAAAACATGTTTAACTTCAGCAGGTTTTTGAATGGAGCAAATTATGAAAGTCAAAATAAACTACAAGGAATAAAAATAGACAGCACTTTCAAATAGGGAAAAGCAAAAGTTTACCTGGTGATGAAGCGCCACATAATAGAAGAAGAAATAATATCTTCATGTCACAGAAATGATAAGTGGTGATGTTAGGACTGAAATCCTTTACTTTTCCTCAGGAACTGTTCATATGTAAGGAAAAGAATGTTCTTTTGAAATTCCTTGCTTTATAAAATAGAAAATATCAGCTAGAAAGCAAAGTAATGAAACCTGGTTTCTGCCTAAACTGATTAGAATCCAGAGCGTCATTTCGGATGATCCGGTCCTGTTTTTATGGCTTCCACACACAAAAAAAACCCAGCTGCTTTCTTTAAAGATGGCCTCTCACCACCAAGCACCGACAGAGCGCCCCACTTTACTGTAAAATATCTGAAGGTGGATAAACTAGCAAATGAAAGTCAAAATGCTGCCTTGAAAATGCAAAGTCAACAAGAAAATTGTATTGGTTTTAACTCAGAAATTAAAATTCATGAAGTTAATACAACAAGAAACAAGTTGTCTAAACATTGTTTTTTAAGTTCTTTAATGGCAAATTGTGAGTTTTAACTTAATGCTGTAACTTTACCCTAACCAAGTAATTATTTCACAATACACATTTAGTGTGAACAGAACTTTATCCTCAAGCTTTGCAAACTGTCAGCTGCATTAAAATAAACATTTGCCTTAATAACAAACAAGAGTCAGATCAATGTGATGCACTTCCATCTCAGGATATAAAATCATGCCGCTAAGCACACTGGGAAATTGTTCCCTCTCTTGTCTTTTTCTTCTTTCTGTTGTTCTAACCTGAAAACTCCAGTTTTCTTAGCTCTTGTAGTTTTGACAAAATTAATAAAAAAGTTAACACAACTTACTTCAGTAAGTTTATCTTTTCACAAACTCACACATTTAGGTTCAAAATCTAAAACTCTGATCTGATAAACATATTTTACTTAAAGAGTAGAAGATAGTAGACACAACTAAATTTGACTCAAATGTTTTGCAGTGTTCAGGCTCATCAGCCTCACCTTTCATTTTTAGGACTTCGATCTGCCAAACACAAAATATTTGTTGTGAAGCCGGTTTGTCACTTTAGCGATCGTTCCTACTCTGTGTTGATGAAATTAGGAAGTTGTGGTTTAATACTAACTGTGATGGTCCGACCAGCAAACTCAAGGACAAAGGCATAAAAAAAACAACTATTTAATTTTTCAAAGAGTTTAAAGATTTTTTTTACAACAAATTTCAAAAAGAAATATAAGAAAAATGGGCCCAAAAAATAATCAACTAAAGCATACCAACTCAACCAAAACTAACTGACTCTCTCAATGAACACACAGGGGAATTTATATACAAAGGCTAGCCTACACACACACACAAGGAGGGGTGGGGGAGCAAACAAAAACAACCAATACATAAACAGTCAGGGACCAGCTGGTGACAGCAGCAACAGAGAACAACAGAGGATCTGATAAAGAAACAGACAAACAGAGGAGCATTTTGTCAAGTGCATCAATCCTTCCACTGATTTACCCGCATTGCTGCTGTTACTATTGATCTTCTTTTAGCTCCAAGTTTTTTCTTGGTCTGATGACTTAACATTGACCTGATATAGGTTGGAGCATGACTTCACAGGAGAATAAAAAAATAGAATACAAATGTTAATAACAAGGCATGTAGCTATTCAACTAGCTTATTTTCAGCAAAGTACTTGGAATATCAATTTCTGTTTGCTTTACAGTCTAGAATGTTGTTCAGGCTCAGGCTTGATTTTTTTGCATCGCTTTGCTAAAACAGAAACCAGAACCTTATCTCTAGTTTCAGTGAACTTTTAATTTCTTCCTTTCATTTGTAGATAAATCTGAGAAAACCTAAGAATTTTTTCTCTGTCATTTGTTGGTAGAACCTTCTACAAAGATAGCCTCTGATGTTATTTGATAGAGAAAAATACAGACGTTCATTAGCCTATATGATGTATGCTTTTGTTTGCTTTATGAAAGACAGATGCAAATTAAAAAAATATTATTGTGCAATATAGTTGTAAAATGTGAGTAAACATAAATAGAGCTATTCAAAACTTTCAGACATGATATAAAACTCAAACCATTTAGCATGTTAAGGCTGCTCCTTTAAATTATTGCCAGTTATCTTCATTTAACCTGAGATTTCCTGTAGATTTTATGTCCAGTTAACAGAACATCTGGATATGACACATGTCCAGCATTCTTCATGGTGAAGTGCATTTCATTTTGTATCAGTTTGTTAAAGAGAAGGTTGTTTCAGAAGCTGTAAGATACAAAATATTTCATTATTCTGCTCATTCTGAACAAAACTTAGTGAATATAGGATAATAAAGGTCAGAAAGTACTTACATTCTGTGAAAAATTCTGTGTGTCACTAAATAATGGAAGAATGATCATTTAGGTCATGTTAAAAGTAAAAGATCTGCTTGTAAATAATTATCAGATTTACCAAGATATTCTACTGTAATTAGATGTTATAGTAGAGTGTAACTTTCTAATTCACTTTTCTGAATATCACATTTTAATTGTCTTACCATTCATTAGTTTGAAAGCTGTGAATGATAAAGCAGCAGCGAGGATGACAATAACACATCCCATCATAGCAATGACAGCGATGCTGGTTGCTGTTAACAGACCTGTTCAGGAAACATTATGCAGGTTTCTTGGTTTTGGTTTTAACTGAATTTAAGAAACATTTACAACTTTAATCGTAGAAAGAAAACTGTGTATTAGTAACATTGAGCATAATCTATAATGGCCCATTTAAACTCAAATAGCAAATGACAAATTACACTAATAACAGTCACATCTGAGTTTTATCTAAGGGGAAGATTCACCCTCATTTATCAAATGACAAAAAATAAATAAAATTACAAAAAGGACAACTTACTATATTGCTATGCATTTGTAGTCACTACTTGAATCTATAGCTACTTTAAGTGCTTTTTTTATAAAATGGGGAAAAAATGATCAAATCAAGTATTTTTATTACCTTTAGTTTTGGGATTGTTGCTTCTGATTGAATCTTGGTCCAATTTGGTAATGACATCATTTTTCACACCAGACAGTTCAAATATGCATTCGTATCTCCCCCAGTCTTCAGGTGGGATTGCCAGAACCTCCAGGTGGACACTCATCTGAAAGGATCCATCATCATTGGGAAGAAGATTTCCATGTTCTACCCCTTCATGAATCTCCTCTCCATCTTTCCTCCAGAACATCATGGCTTTGTTAGGGAAGAAACCCGTTGCATGACAAGTGACTGGAAAGGAGGGAGACTTCTGGAGTAGAAACACTGAGGGAAGAACTAGAGAGATATTGCCGCTATTAGGTCATTTTACATGACTATTAAGGCATATTTTTCTCATGATACTCAAGAAATGTCTGATAGACCAAAATGCATAAAATAGATTGAAAGAGGTGGTTAGTCGACCAAGATAAAATAAAAATAAACTATATATAAAAGGCCAATTGATTTTACCTTTTCTGCTCAGAAAAGATTTTCCATATCTCAGAAATACTTTTAACAATGGCAGGCACTCGTTTCGGAGTAAGATTTTTGCAATCTCATAAATGGCTTTGTCAGCATTCCACTCCTTTGCTATGACCTCTGCCTTTGGATTTGTTGCAATCCAAGTCCCTGTCTTTGTGTCTAATGTCATAAAGTCTTCTCCGTTGTTACCATATTTTACATGACCATGAGTATTATTAGTTTCTTCATCCCAGACACAGCCAATAATTTGCTGAATTATCTCCTTGCCTGAGGAAAACAGAGAACAAACCATGTTTTAAATATGCCATGATGCCATCACACATTCTACCTGATAATGTAATTTTTTGTTTTTTTTAAGATGTGTAGTTTCTGAAGCAAAGTTTTGCCTGATCTAAATCCAAATATTGATTAATATAAGTAGGTAAGAACATAATAATAATAATTTTAGTTATAACATACCTTCTGATGGGTTTGACCCCGCATTAAAATTCTTAGTCTGATGTCTGAAGATATCTTTATATTCCAAGCATGCCTGTACAGACGATTCCCACTCCTTTGTGTTCTCTTTTATTAACTTTTTCATCCAGTCTTGTTTGATATGCATTACTTTTTCATCATAGTAAGATGCTAAAAAACCCTCAATTACATTCATCACTGCATACTCTGGGAAATTGGGAACTCCTGGATGCAGGAAATAATCCATCTCCATGTAATATGTTTCTGTCAGAAGAACAATTTTTTTCATTTAGAATATGGATTGCAATTTTTTGAATATATATATATTTTTATTTATAGTATAAACTGTAGAATTGAATTTGCATGTGAAACATAAAAAGTTAATAAAAATACATATTCTCTGATATTCTTTATATTGATGAAAACTTATAAGTGTTTAACTTTCACAGTTATTTCACAGTTGATAAAATAATTGTCATCTTTACCTTTGAACAGAAGCAGCTCTATTTCACTTTTGATTATAGAAAATTAAAAATGATCAAAAATTGCTTCTCCTGTTGAATGATTGAAATGTTCTTACCTCCAGATGCAGCATTCTGTAAAAGCAGCAACAAAGTTATCACCTTTATCATTTTTGTACAGTTGGTGTGAAATTGAGAAACTGAGCAGAAGAGTCCTTTAGTTGGTATGTTAGAAATCATTTCCTGCTTCTCTTCTTATTGTCACAAGATGGTGGTGGAGGTGTGTTCAAGTTTGACAAACAACCAATGGGATATTTTTGTGTTCTTTTTTAGTTTTTATGACAAAATTTATGACAGAATTGGTCTATTCTGCTAATGTAAAACTTCTTATACAGTGTGTTAAATCTGAATCAGTTTTAGCTTTTAACATATTTGTTAAAATGCTCTAAATATAAAAGAACTAACCCCACAGTGATAGAACTAAAATGAAATAACCTCCTGGTGTTTTTTTCTTAAAAAACTAAACTAAGAAATGAAACATAATGAATGTAAAACCACATTAACACCGAAATGTTAGAATTTCATCAAATGGCAATATATCATTATAAATTTGCTTTAATCACTGAGCAATAAATGCACCAACTTTAGGGAGATTCCCTGTGTATCATGTGAAGGCAAACACCAGGAAGTACCAACACTTGCAATACAAGTAATTGTTGATTCAAGATTAAGTAACAAGGAAACAATTTATGCTCATCTTGTTTCTATTAATAGTATATTTTCTTCTGAAAAAGTACCTTGCCTGACTTGTTTTTATTTGGTTTATGTTTAGAAGACATGAACATATATGAAAAGTTAATATCTCTCTAAAACTCAGTAACAGAACAAGACTTAATTTTGACTAAGCTTCAGTATAAGTAAAGAATGAAAGTTTTATTCAAACAGCCTTAAAAGTTTAATATTAGATCTTCCTCTACTCCATTTAGATATTCTATTCAATATTGCTAGGAAGGCTTTTCCATATCAGTTCTACTCTTTCAATTCACTTTTAGGAAAACTACTAGAAGTGAATTTAATAATTACTAACATGGTTTGAATATAAACCATAGATGTTTTGAAAATGAGATCAGAGTTGCAACTCAAAATCATCTTAACTACTAACCTTTTACTCACTCTGTAGCTTAAGAAGAAAGAAAATGGACTTCTTGTTTGAAGATGTTTCAGTTCTCGCCAAAAAAGAAGAAACCATTTCTAGTAAGACTTTATGGAAGCCACTACATTATTTATCACCCATCTAAATGCCTACAACTTATTTCAGTTCTGAATGCTGTATGTCACAGTTTTTAAAAGTTTATGAAATCACTCATTTCACTTTTATCGATTTAAAATAGAAAGAGTCAGTTCAGAAACACTAGAAAAATGTGCCCTACGATTGTCACTGTATAGGCCTATACTGAGCGCAAGACATCAGCAAATTTTGTTTGGTGATGCCTTTACACTTTTTCAATGTTTTTTACAACACAACAATATGAAGCCTACATCAATAAAATCAGGACTGCAAGTGGTTCAGAGAAATGTTGCCATTCTCTTCCTGCATATTGATAAACAGAGAAAAACATAACCATTAATGCAACAAATACATTCAGACAAAAGCTGATCTGATGTGTTTCTATTTATTTATTTATTTATTTATTTGTGAATGTTATTAATGTGTACAGTCTGAGATGGCTCTCAGAGAGTTGGGATGAGACAATGAAGATTTGCAAATGTTTTGTTTTTTTTTTTTTGTTTTTTTTTTTGGTAGAAATGGTATATTTATTTTATCAAATTTTACAATTCCTGACGTTAGCTTTCTGGTGAAAAATAATAAAAAATTAAAAATGAATCGAGAGTTTTAAGAAAGATTCAAAAACATTAAAAATGTAAGTCAGTGTTTTGTTTCTCTTTCGGTCTGATATGGTTCAATCATGACTGCTTTCATTTTCTGCTGTCCTTGAGGGGTTTTGTTATGTTTTCTCTTTTTAAGCAGATAATACATCAATTCAAGTTTGGACTTTAATTCATGATCACCTGTTCAGAAATATTTTTGTGTTCACAATCACTGGTGCTAATTTTCATTTCACTTTCAGGGTTTCTAGATAGACTTAGATTTATTTTATTGTCATTGCACAAAGAAACATGAAATTGGCAATGAAATGTTGAGCAATGAGATGGTCAGTGGGAAGCAGCCAATTCTGAGTCTGGCTGATCTGCAGTGTATGCTACTGAATCTCCTGCCAGATGCCAACCGGATGAACAGACCATGGAGAGGATCTGGTTTGCTCTGGTTTAGCAGCGTCTGTGTGCAAAGGACAGGGGGAATGGAGTCCCAATGATTCTCTCCGCTGTCTTCATCACTCTTCGCAGAGACTTCCAGCCTGAGGCCTTGCAGTTCCCAGACCAGATGGAGATGCTGCTGGTCTGCAGGCTCTCAATGTTTCCTCTGTAGAAGGTGGAGAGGACGGGAGGTGGGATGAAAGCCCTTCTCATTCATCTTACAGGTACAGGCACTGCTGTGCCTTTTTTCACCAGTACAGTATTTTTCTATAGTATACTGTCCAGTCAAGGTTTTCTGTAATGTCCACCCACAGGAACTTAGAGCTGCTGATGATCTCCACATAGAAATCTGCAAAACAGTAACTTAGTAAATGCTATGTAACTTAGTAAATTGCGAAAGCCTCTATTAAGCTTTGTTTTGTTTTGATTTGGCATTGATGTAGTTGTCATGGTACTTTATAATTGCATAGTGATGGGAAAGTGCAGAAAGAGCTCTCTGGCCAAAATGGTTTCCCCGACTGGGAAGGCAGTGATCCCTGAAAATTTAACATTTGGGTCTGTTTGGAGCTTGAAACCATGACCTTTAGAGAGAATTGAATGATTCAGAGTCAAGTATGAATAAGCCATAATGAGGCCAGGATGTTGTGGAAATAGGTAGGATACTCTCTTCAGGTTCAGATTCAGTGTCTCAGGTGGAGTTTAAGTATCTTGGTGTCTTGAAAAGGACATGAGGTTAGATGTTGTAATGGTCAACAGAGGACAGGACAAACACTGAAGGGAAAAGCCAAAAGAGAAGAAGATTTGGTCACATATCAAAAGCATGTAACAGACAATTTCTTAGCTCACTTTTCAAGATGAATGAAGGATTGTTTTAACTTCTGCTTTTATTACTTCTGTTTTGCTTTTAAAATTGAACTATGGTAAACAACCTTTAGTAAAACTTACAAGGTTGTCAAAATTCTTCAGTGAATGTATTGGTTATGAATAAATCCATTCTAATTTAAAGTCTTTCTTTATACAAAAATGAGTTTAATTGTGTTTAAAAATGAGACAAGCAGAGCAGGATTCAAATTGGTGACCTACTGACAAACTGTTTCCTCCTGATCCATCCTCACTCCATGTAATGTTCTTTGATGAGATAAAATCACCATTTCTAGGACCACAAGCATAAAAAAATCTATGCAGAAATTTTTATTAAGATATCTAATCAATAGATCAAGGTGCATTGAATCTTTTCTGAGACCGTTTTTTATTTGAAATGTGCAGCTTTAGCTCATAAGTGAGGAAGAATATTAATACCAAACACAAAAAATATAAATACTGTTACCTTGTAAAGTAAATGTTACTGATTTCTGCTACTGCTTTGAAATGATGTCATTATCATAATATTTTAAAGATGTGCTGTGGTTGAATCTGTATTTCAGAATCATGGATTTAAGCTGGATGTTCTCCCTGTGCATGATGGGTTTTCTCCAGTAACTCTGGTTTCCTCCTACAGTACAAAAACATGCCTGTCAGGTTAATTGGTCTCGAAATTCTCCATAGGTATTTTGACTGTGTGTTTTCAGTTTACTGGAGCTGAGGACAAAATCCTGATCAAGCTGGATAGAGAAGTAATCAAGACCAACAGGGTGAGCATAAATATCTCAGTATCACATATGTTAGTATTTAATACAGTTCTAAGTTTGTGATGATTAAAGCAGAAAATTAGGAGAATTTTACACACATTCTGCATGGAAAGCATCAGAAATACTTTGGGCAGGAACTGTTTACAACACAAAGTGATGCCAGTTTCCACACATTTATTTCTTCCCAGAATATAAGATCCCAACAAATATCTTTTGCAACAATATGCCAATTCTCGGCTGCGGCTACTTCGGGTCCATTGTGTAGTATAAGGTTTAGCTCTGCTACACTGGTAGCCAAGTAACGACATTTCGTTGTCAAGATTCACCTTGTATATTTTTTTGTACAATGACAATAAAGGAAGTCTAAGTCTAAGTCTAAGTCAATTCTACAGCTTCAACAATTAATGATGCTCTCGCCTGATCAGCTCTTGTGGTTTCTCTTTGACCAGATGAATCATCTCAGAGAAATATCATCATCATTGCTGTCATTTCTGTTGTGATTTCCATCATAATTGCTGCTTTAGCATTTGCTGCTTTCAAGAAGAAAAATGGTAAGATTTTGGATTCATCATGATGTATCCGAAATATGAAGATTGCAACAAACAAATGATTATTTTTATACCATCTTTGCATTAAATTAAGAAAACCTTAAAAATTATGAATATTTTCTCTTTTGATGTTTTATTGCATATTTGTAAATTGAAACCCAAATATCTGTTTAACTTTCAGATAGACCAGTCATCTCTGGTAAGTAGGCCTGAAATTTATTTATCTTTTGTTTCACCAAATTCTCTGAAATAATTCTAAGATCAGAGGATTAGCAAGTCTCTTTTTGGTTCCTCAGAGTCTGAAATCATACCATTGAGAAACTGACTTCAAAATCCAGATCAAGAAATCTAACATCCTGCTCTGCCTTCACATGTCCATTTAACATATGTACTATATGTGTATTAATATAATCTAATAAGTACCCTAATTGCTTTTTCATTAAGCAGGTATTATTTTTCATTAAGCAGGTATTATTGTGTGAAAGCAGAAAGTCGAGCCAGCTGTAGAAATGAGTAGAAAAAATATTTTATCATAATTTTTTGCTTCCTGCACCCTTTTTGTTTTTCTTCAGCTAATACAAAGTGTAGTATATCTAAAATAAAGTCACAAATGTTTTATTACTGTCAGTTTTTTAAATGACCAAGTTTAAAATCCCAATTCACTTCCTGACAAAATATGCTGGAGAAATACAATAGACTGTTGTATATTAGACTGTTGTACAATAGACTGTTGTATATGTGAATGCTGTGAACTGTCCATTGTTCCATTGTTGGACTCTTGTTTATAAACTGGCAGATTGAGTTATGTGTCTGCATAGCTATATTTATTTTAAATGCATAACCATCATTTTTGTTTGGAAAATTGGAAAATAACTACATGTGTTTACATAAAGCCTTCTTATCCTGTTTTAATAAAACAATGAATACATTATTATATGTGCATAATGTTCAGTAAAAGTGTATATAATTTAAAGACATTGTAAAACTGTATATGTTGAATATCCCAACAGCAAAACAGAGGGATTTTATGCTACATTTTTATTGTCTGCTCTGACATTGATGTGTTTGCAGTAAAGTAACAACTCAGACACAAAGCTGCTGTAAAGATGGACATTTATGAGGATTGAGTTCAGATTGTAACTCTAAATGGAGCTGTGTTAAAGTTTGGAAATATGTAATTAAATATTATCTACAAACCAGTTTGACTATTTTGTCGTCTCTATAACATAACCAATGAAGTTAACATCAGTTATAATTTCACATGGCATGAACAAGTTTTATTTCTTAAAGAAAAATACTGGTGATTGCATAAAGTTACAAACTTTACAGCAATCACTCCTCCTGTATGAAAGGAAGAAACCTGCAGTAGAACCCTAAATAAGTGTGAGTAACCATCTATTTATTTATCCTGTTATCAAATTTAATGATCAGAGAATTCATATTACGTATAATACGTATTTTGTATTATGAAATGTAAGGCTACCTTCAGAGTAACACCAGCTTAAGAGGAAGAATCTAAATGTTTTTAAGGCATTTACTTGCATGGATGCTGGATTTAATTCATATAATTTGGCTCTCAGTTTGCATAAAAACCTAGAAACCCATAAGAACTGGTTCTGTTAGCAGCACCGTTTCTGCTAACAAAGGCAGAATCAGTTCTGCTTCTGTTAACAGTTCTTTGGTGAGAAAAGTTTCCAAGTGTTATTTATACTTCCTTCTGCAGGACAGCAGAGGGCAGCATTGGACAGATAAAATCTGTATTATTTAATGTTGTCGATTCAAATCTTGATCTTGTTAAAGTTCCTCACAATCAACTGGAAAAAGTTTCCCTGTGGGAATTGAAACATTTGAATAAATTTACTTAACATGTTCACAGAGTCACAAATCCATAAAAATGAACAATTATAATGATAAAAAATTATTTCGTGACATATGAGGTAGAAGTTTTTTTGCATTTTTTTATATTTTACACATGATAAAACATTCATGTTTCAACAAAGACAGATGACCTTCATCTACATAAAACTTTTCAAAACCATCCGATGTAGATTATTTTTGCTAAATACAAAAGTAACAAAGACAACAGAAGACTGATGTGTCTTACATAAAAACATGGTGCTAGCAAACATAATGCAGTAAAACCTGTTTTTCCAACTTCTGATCAGTTCTTTCACTTTGTTAAATGAAGCCAGCAGCATATCATAAGTTTCCTTCACATCTGATTTATTCCAGTTTCTGCAGATAGAACTGTCTGACCCGCCGTCTGTCCAATGGTGAATTACAGATTACAAACAAACTTATAGTTTATGATTTCTAATCCAATAAATGATACTATCTAATCTGAACCAGAAGTATTTTAGCCAAGAGGGAGTTGTCTTTATCAAAAGAACATCAAGTCAAGAGGAAAAGCAGGAGATAAAAATAACTCAGATGATGAGTGTTTGGCATCAAATTACCTTTAACAAGATGCAATACAGAGCAAACTAAAGCATGTTTTAAAGTCACAGAAAATAATACCCACGAAAAATTATTTTAGTTCCCTAATAGCTTTGCTCATCACTTCAAAGGTGGATCCACCCTGTCGGGGAAGTTCATTTAAACTGCTTGAAGTTTTATTCTTTTAGCATGGCGGGTCTGGCTAGGAATGAAGATATACCTGCAAACTAAAAACTTTGTCCTGTTTCAGTTTATCCTTCAGTATAAAACATACACAGAGCACTTGCATAACTAAAAACAGAGAGACATTTTTATGATTGTAAGTGTGAGGATAACACACTTATCCTCTAAATATCTAAATGCTCAGATATTTAGAGCAGAGTTTCATCAGCTGAACGCCGTTCAGTTGGTGATCACAGGTCCCTCTGCCTCACCTGGTTACTTTGTGCTCCCTTCATCACCTGCAGTCTGAGGCCTCCACCTTGTAGGTGTGGAGACCGATTGAGCCAGTTTCTCTGGTAGGTTTGTAAAACAGATGACCGGCTGCTCCCAGCAACATGAAGAAAATGGTCTCAAAATACCTGTGCTTGTGTAATACTGACAACTTTTGAACTTACATTTTTTTGGACTTTGTTCAATCAAAATATTGCATGCTTAATTCATTGCTACATGGACAAATAAAAACAAAATTAGTACAATTTTTTACATATTTAATAGAAAAAAGCACTTCCTGCAACTACAGTATGAAATACATTGTCATTACAATACAAAATAAATGGTATTCTTAGTGTTTAATACATATTTACTGACTTACAGTGAAGAACTCAAAATGTTCTGAATGCAAACTTGGTCCATAAAATCAAAATATTGCATGCTTAATTCAGAACAGAACAGAATCATCTCTTCTTCTTTAAGCTTGTTTTAACTGTTAGAGTCCAGATTTAACTGCAGTCTGGTTTCTTAATTGAGTCTCTCAGACAATTCAATACTGTTGACGGGAGCTGTAAGAAAAAAAGAGTTAATATTTAGAAGAATCTACAAAATAAATTGTTTATGTTAATAAAAGATAAACAACAAAGGGGCAAGGAATTTGTCAATAAAACAGACGGTGCAAGATCCATCACACTTTTAAGAAGTACTAAAATGAGAATATATAAATAAATCTGGGAAAAGATAGATTTACATTTCATCTGAGCCTTACTCATTGCTTTTACTGAAAATGGGAAATGCAGAATCCTGAAATTATTTCTGTGTTCATATATGTAATAATTTGAATAAAACAAGTTTAGATTTTAGTTGATTATGAGTCTTGTTCAGCTCATCACTGGAGGTTTTCTTACCTTTCCTATTTTTGATTACCATAAATCCAACAGCAGCAACAATTATAACAAGAAAAACCACTGCAGCAGTGATCCCAACTATCATGCCTATGGGCTTTTCTGCACAGAAAAAAGACAACAGAGACAGATAAATATATTTACTAAAATATGCATAAACTGTAGATTAAGCTCTACTGAAAACTGTTAAGAAATCAGTATATACACCATGTTACAAATTATTATGCAAGTAATATTTTCTCAGATTTTCTGAAATTGTCATTGATGGTCAGTATAATTTTCAAGTCATGAACTAATACAGTATAAATCAAATTTAATGAAGAAAGCTCCTCATGAGAACAGTATTTTTTTCAAAAATAAAAAAATGAAAAAGGTTCTCAATAGGGTCAGAGGTTAGAGGGGGATGGTGACCACACCACGAGTTTCTCCCCTTTTATGCCCATAGCAGCCACAACACAGTGGTATCCTTGAAGCACTCATTGTCATGCATGAAGATGATTTTGTTACTGAAGGTACAGCTCTTCTTTTGAACCATAAAAGAAAGTGATCAGTCAGAAAGTTCATATATTTTGCTGAGGTCGTTTTCACATAGGAGCCCATTAGTCGGTTCCTGCACCACAAGCCTCTAGAGGATTCTCCACCTTGAGGTTCCCGAGGCACCAGCAGCTTCAAATAACTGTTTGCTGCTTTGTAAGGGCATTTTAACAGCTGCTCTATCAAAACAATGAAATCGTCAAACAGAAACTTCCTCATTATGCCTTTATCTGTACAAACCCATCTTTGTTCTGAATCAGCCACAAATATCTTCACAGTGCGATAACGCTTTCATTAAATATCTAGTGTTTTCATACCTTGTCATATGGCACTACACTATCTGATGATTTTTGTCAGCAGAGATCTTTTCTCTTTTCCAGACTGCTTGAAACCTGTGGCCTGCTTAATAATGTGGAACATCCTTCTTAAGTAGATTTCCTTTAATTGAGCTCACCAGACAAATTAATCAACTCAACTCTCTGAAATTAACTATAGTGATTCAAAGATCCCTGACACACAATACTATCTATAAATTTAATTACACAACAAAAAATGTAATCTTTATGACACAATAATTTGGAACACGGTGTAATGATAGTAGGGAATAATATCTTGAAAGTCTGTTACTAAATTTATAAAGTAATTGTAACCTCTTTTGAGGAGGTTCAATAATGCAGGAGAATAAGGTTGCATTTGAATATCAGATAAACCTTTTTTTATCAGGGTTATCAGGGTTAAATGACTAAAACCAGCAACCTTTTAAAAAAACAGATGTGTTATTGAAAAGGTCGTGTTAATTAAACTTAAAACACTATTACAAACAGATCATCTTTTCTTACCCTCATCATTTTGTTTCTGTGTTTTTCTCCAGTTGGTTTGGATCTTTTCTTTCTCCAGTCTGCTGACAACATCATCTTTGGCATCCACCCAGATGAAACACACACTCATATTTTTCCCAGTCTTCAGGGTTCACAGATGAAATATTAATGTCTGCTCTCATCTGGAAGGTGTTATCCTGGTTACAGAGGATCTCTGTTTTGTCCACACCATCATGAATCTCCTCTCCATCCTTCCTCCAGAACATCACAGCTTTGTTGGGATAGAAACCAGTAGCGAAGCAGCTGACTGCAGCGTCAGGAGACTTCTGGAGGAAAAA